ATGAATTATAATCATACATACCATGGAAGTATAACTCCTCTTATGATCTACTAAGCATTATAAGTTTGTCTAATTGATCCACCTCTCAAACTCCACTACCAAAGTTTCATTTGAAGGCATTGGGAAATGAGAAAGATAACAATATCAATTGACCACTAATAAATTCAAAATAAATATTAATTAGACATACATCCCTAAAACCCTAAACCCAAAACTCAAATCCCTAAACCCCCTACACCTAAACCTGCCCTAAGGCCCCTAACCCCTAAACCTATGCCCTAACCCCTAACCCCTAACCCCCACCTAACTCCTAAATCACTAACCCTAAACCCTCTATAACCATAAACCCTAAACGCCATAAACCCTAAAGCCTAGCAAACACAAATACATATAAATAGAGAAATACTATACAATTATTGGTTTTGTACAACACGAAAACAACGAAAAATAAAAAAGAAACTGTGGATTAATTAGAGTGATGGGGGTTAAAAGTAATACAAGAATGATTATAACAAATAAGAAACACAAAGGAAAAGAAATAGTCATCTGTAAAACACATTTTACATAAAAAAATAAAGTCAATGGAAATAGGACAAACAGATATACTTATCTTTCCACTCCCAAACTCGTTTTGTAGACTAATCTCTACCCAGTTCAACCCTCTTTATTCCTTAAGCCAGCATCCATTCCCACAAACCACTAAAAAGAATGCACATTAGCTGAGTTCGCAAAATACATCTCAATTAGAAGCAATAATAAGAACTAAAAACTTTAACTATAAAATCGATATGCTCCTATTATTTAAATTTTTAATTCCATTGGTAGTTTCTACGTGATACAAACTCTTAATTTTCCTCCATACTTTAACATTTTTGTTCCCTACCTAAGTAGTTGAGTTTTGTTGCCAACATTTAACAACTTTAAAGAAAAAATAATAGAAAGATAAATAAGACATAATTTATCTAATAGAAGAAGAAACACAAACAAATATAAGCAAAGAAATGATATGCAATTATTGGTTGTGTACAACACAAAAACAATAACGAAAAATAAAAAAATAAACAATGGGTTAATCAGAGAATTGAGGGTTGGAAGCAATACAAGAATGATTATAACAAGTAAGAAACACAAAAAAGAAAAAGAAATAGTTAACTGTAAAAGACATATAAGCAAAGAAATGTTATGCAATTACTGGTTGTGTACAATACGAAAAGACCAAAAAATAAGAAGAAAACAGTGGGTTAATCTAGAGTGTTGGGGATTAGAAGTAACACAAACAAGTAAGAAACACAAAAGGAAAAAGAAAGTCAACAGTAAAACACATTTTGCATAAAAAAAAGAAGTCAATGGAAGTAGAACAAACAGATATACTTATCTTTTCACTACCAAACACACTTTGCAGACTCATTTCTAACCAGCTAACCCTCCTTATTCCTTCATAAGTCAGCATCCATTCCACAAACAACTGAAAGGAAAGCCTATTAAATTAGTTATGTACTGTGAAAAAATTATTAAGGACAACAAAGAGCAATAAGAACGAAAAAAAAAAAGGACAAGGGACATGACCACTCACTGTGCAACAAGTGGATATATATACATATTAGATTGCATGCCCACATGCTCAAAATGCTGCTTTCGCCTATGAAAATTCAAGAACTAATGATTAAAAAAAAAAGGTCAATTTACATAGTTTGATTCAAGCCTTCAACAGCAAGGTTAGTATGGAGAATTGCAAGCTTTAATATCAAATGGAGATAATTAGAAGTGCTTTTGTACCTCTGTAGTGTTGAATGTCTTCACTCAATTTACGCATGTCAATGCAAACAATTCCACACAAAGATAAACACAAGAAGCATATACTCAAACACAAAAGTAGAAACTAGACTTGATATTACTAGATACAACCTACGACATCTTAACCATAAATGCAACAGCCTTATCAATCACATAGGCGTCAAACTATTAACAAGAAAGTGAAAGACGCCAAATTCTATTTTCTCAAAATCTGCAAGCGTATATGGGTGGAGAACTTCACCAGTGCACTACAGCACGTCATATACCAAATGATTCTGCATGTTTGGTGTTATAATGAAGTATTAATGGTTATAAGTCTAAGAGACATTCTCATAACTCCCTAACACCATTTCAATCTGTAATAATGCTTCCAAAATCCCACAACAATCCCAAAAGATAGTCACTAACAATACAAGATTTTGAAGCAGAAAAAAAAATTTGAGCATAAGTAATTCAATCTGGTTGCTTTAGAAATCAATTGATAAGAATGTAAAAGGATCCATAGTCCAACAACCGAATCAAACAATCAATACCTCTGTCGATCTTAACAAGTAAGGGAGGGAATTGAGTAACAAACAAATGTAAGTTACGCTTAAACATTGCATTAAAAGAGAAAAAAATATTATTAATTACCTCAGAATTGCTGCAAACCATTTCAGCACATCCACAATATTCCTAAAGCATCATAGGGCAGAATCAACAGCAATTGAGAGAAAATTCCATGGAAAACAATTCTAACAAAAAGAAAGAAAGCCAATCAAACAATATCGTCCTCCGAGACACTCAAAAAATACTGGAAAAATCACATACGTGACTACAATAATTGTATTTTAAAAACTTAAGGGTTTCAGTAGTTTTGTCATGTGTGTGTAATCATATTCAATTAGCAAGTCTTCAATCACATTCTTGACAGCCATTGAAATCAGTATTTCTCATTCCAAAATATGACGGCTGTTCATTCATTCATAGTAATATCGAGTTCCAAAAATAAGAAGAAAAAAATAAAATAAAGGGATTTCTGCAGTTATTGGGTAACAAAGAACTATAAAAATAATAGTGTTATAAATTATGAAGACAATGTGAAAATAGAAAAATAAAGCAGAACACAGGGAACAAAAAGGAAATCTACGAAAATCATGTAACGAAAATTCTTTGAATCTAATGATTTATATATGTACGTTGAAAACCATAAATCCTCTTTTTGACTTCCGTCGAAGTCACGGTGATGCTTTGTTTTTGATTTCCAATCATATTTCAAATGCGAAAACAACAGTCAGCGAGAGAGAGACAGAGAGATTAAATCTGATTAAAGAATTCAAACCAGGAGGTACTGGATGGCTTGTTACAGATTTGAAAAGTTTCGAACAAACTCATTACAAACCCTAATCATATGTTGCCAACTCGTAACATTGTATATTCCCAAATTTAGTCCCCATCCAATCGATTTTGGCCAGAGTTTATGGGTGAGGTGTTTTCGGGGAAGAGAGTTTATGGGATGGGGTTTTCGCGGGGGGGGGGGGGGGGGGTTGAGAGAGAGAGTTGCAGATGTATTTGAGGAAAGAAGAAAGGCGGTGAATAAGAAGAAAAGCATTGGAGACTTACAGATTTGGAAACTAGGCGACACCGTCGCTGGGTGGGGGGTGAGGGGTTGGGAGAGAGAGAGAGACAGATGAATGCACAGATTTGGAAATTAGGAAGGAGACTACCGAAGGCTTTAAATTGAGATAGGGAGGGAGCGGATTTGGAAACTAGGTTGGAGGGAAAAAAAAAAAAAAACAAATTACACTCAAACCCCTTAAGGTTTATTACTTAACCAATTAAGCCCCTGAAATGTTAATTAATAAATTACACTTAAACCCCTAAAATTTAAAGATGTATAATACTTAGACTCTCAAATTTAAAATATTATATTTAGACTAAAAATATTTCAATTAAAAATAAAATATCAAATATTTTAAATTTTGCAATCAAAATTCATGTTCTATTTTGTTATTTATTGAAATAAAATTAAAGATTCAATTTAAAAAATCATAATTATTATTTTTGATGTCAAAATTTGGATGACTTACATGACAATTTGTTAGGTTTTGATCACCTAAAAAAGAAGTTGGAGGCCAGAAGAGCACTCTGGAGGTCGAATCTCCGATATTTAAGTTAGTAAATGATTAAAAGATATGAATTGTATATAATAATCAGGATAAATATATCAAAAAATTAAATTTAACATACATTTGCATACAATTATATTGTGTATTAAAATAAAACTAAAAAACACAATATCTTCTATCTTTATTTGGGTATTATTGTCGTTTAATAGATTCCGTAAGTTTTGTAACTAATAAAAAGTTTAAGTATAATATTTTAAATTTAAAGGGTTTACGTGTCGAACGCCTATAAACTTAAGAGAGTTTATATATAATTTACTAAAGAATAACTAATATTAACGATAAGAGTCTAAGTGTTATATGTATACAAAATTCAAAAGATTTGTGTGTAATATTTTAAATATCTAAGGATTTGTGTATGATATTTTAAATGTCAATGGTCTAAGTAATTAAGTGACGATCATCAAGAGTTTTAAATGATTAAGTTATAAACTTTAAGGAATCTAAGTATAATTTTTTATAAAAACTAAATTGGATTGAACACCTTCTTCGATTTCCATTTTCCAATAGTAAATAACAGTATAATGGTATAGTTTGGCTCTCAAACTGTAAGATGAATTGAATAAATGGTCGCCGCATGCCGTTTCGGTCGGTGACCGTAGCTAGTCTCAGTTTCTCCCTGAAATGCTGCTCTTCAAGAACAAAATATTGGAAAACTAGAGCATAAAACAAAGTGCATCTCTGTTCATCAGTAATAAAAAAATTCCATAAATCAAATTCACGATCACTGATAGGAAAAGCTTATAGATTTATTTCAAATATGCAAAAGGGTTCAATTACAAAAGCAGAACAGAGTATTCTGCTACTTCCGGACCTTCTTTCCCCATCTCCTCTGCAATATAATGACTGAAGCTGATCACTTGTGACAATAGCTTTGATGACAGTTCAAAGGAAACAGTAGCAAAATGAACAAAACCCAGGAAAAAGAAAAAAACTAAGTCAATGTAGTAAAAAAAAATCCCAGCCAATCCAGCAATTACCCATTCGCTAATATCCTATATGATCCGATCCCTTCTTTGTGTTGCTAACATTGTTAAACCTTTAATTACAGAGTATAACCCTCGTAAGACCAAGAACCAAACAACACACAGTGAAGAAGAAGAGAGTCACAAAGTCCCTAGCCGACCATTTTCGCACCACTTTCGATTCAACACGCAAACTCTTAGCCCTCCTAAGCGCATCTACCTCCTTCAACAAATCAAATTCAACCCCTTTTTTCTTCAATTCTTCGACACATTTAGCCAACAACTTCCCGTCCTCTTTTTCTCTCTCCAACAGCTTCTCTAAATGACCCTCAACGTCAGTTTTGTATCGAACCGCCCATATGATCCCAAGAGAGCAGAAGAGAGAACAGAGAGATGGGATCCAAGATCTGTGGCAATACCCACCACTTGGGGCCCTTGAAGAAGCACTGAAGAGGAAGATCAGAGCCATAGAGTGAAAGAGGAAGAAGAAACAATAGAGTTGGGTGATCTCTTTTCGGACCGAGTCAATTTGGATCTCTTTGAGAGCGATTCGGTTGAGGATTAGTTCTTCTTCTTTTAGCCATTGCTTGAGAAGAAGCTTGTGGGTTGGGGTTTCTGCAATTTGGTGAAGTGGGTGTAAAGGCTTTGAATCCATGATTGATGTGTTTCTGTTCTGGTCAGCCATGTATATGCGGAGAGAGAGAGAGAGAGAGAGGGCCGTGAACGAGCGATGAAGAAAACAGTGGGAGCGCTTTCAAACGGTCGCTTAGATTTTGAATTTTGTAACGGTCGAATGATCAGGAAGAAATTTCCTGGAGTACCCTTCTCTGAAATTGAAAAATTGAAATATCAAAGCATGTGTATTACGTCTGAGGTCAACATCCAAAATTGCAGGCTTAAACGGCGGGCCAATTTTCTTAATTGTGCACTCACCGTCTTTTCCCCAACTTTTTTTTTTCCTGTACCAAACTAATAGGGTTAGATCGTAGATTGATGGGGCAGGCTCAAACGCCCAACTTATATTATAAACTCAATTTAAATTAAGAGTCCAATTTAAAGAAAGGTTCTTTGAAAGTCGGTACACCTAATTAGATTTATTTGACAAAAAATACATAGAATAAAATGTGAATTATAAAGACATAAATGCCCATTTTAGGGTTATTTAATTCAAAATCTCTTATCTTTAATGCATCTTGATTCATGTGTGTTTATTAATACATATAAATACATATTTGAATACATCTTGATTCATGTGTATTTGTTAATACATGTAAATATGCATATATATAGATATATATATTTTATATATATATATATATATATTATCTTTAATATCTATTCTGTGTTAAACCATTTATCTAAATTTTGAATTATTTTTAATGCACCTTAATTCATGCATATTTTTTTTTTGGATAGTGATTTTGTTTTCAAATTATATTTAATGCAGCTTGATTCAAGTGTTTTTTTTTTTTGGGAAAATGGTTTTAGTTTCAAATTAATTTAATATCCGAATAATGTAAATAGTGTAACAATAACAGTGTAACAAATACACTGTAATAAAAACAGGGTTCAGTAGTTTTGTGTATGTGGTAACAAATTCAAAACGGAGATGTACTATTTTGAATAAAATTATATGTTTGACAAAATGTAATAGTACAATATTTTGTATAAATAGCTTGTTACATTGTTATTGTTATACTGTTACACTGTTAGTGTTACACTTTTATTGTTACATTGTTATTGTTACACTATTACACTATTCGGATATTAAATTAATTTGAAAATAAAACTATTTTCTAAAAAAAATGTATGAATCGAGGTGCATTAAAAATAATTCAAAATTTAGATAAGCGATTTAACAACAAGTATATATATATATATATGTGTGTGTGTGTGTGTGTGTGTGTGTGTGTGTATATACGTATTTATATTTGTAATATATAATATATATATATATATATATATATATATATATATATATATATATATATATATATATATGTATTAAAGTTCTCTCATAAAAATAGGAGATGTTTAATGCACCGCTTTTCAAATAAAAGTGGTGCATTAAATACACATGGATTAATGGAGGGCAAAAATATCACAAAAAAATCAGTAAGATTCAAATAATGTACTTAGATACAAATAAGTATCAAAATTAATGACTTAATTACCCAACATTTTTTTTATATACTTTTTTACAATTAAGTCTAATTTGGTGTATCTTCTTCCAATTTTTCCTTTAAAAAAATTCAGTGGATCCAGTCCATAGGAGATCCAAGCCCAACTGAACTTATCAGGGTTTGGGAAACTACATCATAAAAGGAGGTAAGATCTTCCTCAGAGTCTCATCCACGCCGCCTTAAAAAAAAATTAACTACCATTTCATCCTTGGACCTGATCTCAAGAGGAGCTCTGTAATTGTCTCATCCGTTGAGAAGATATCGCCAACTCCATCAGAGTAGGTACTTAGTTACTGATAAGTCGCCTCAATCTGTTAGAATGCGTCTATAAATTGTAAGTCTCGCAAATACTTTGGGGCATTACACACAATCAAGTGCATCTGCTATCTCTAGACCCACTCTGTCATAGATTATATCTCTCTGCTCTCCTTACACTCTTCGAAGTAATAAAATATCAAGGTCATCTTAGTCCTTCAAAGTGGACATAGGTCATGTAAATCAAACCACTCTACATCCTTGTCTCGCCTGAATCATTATCTCTCTCTACTTTATTATTGATGATGGTGCAGACAAACGTGGGTGAATAGAGTGCGTGAGACCAAAGGTGAATCTAGGCTGCCGACTTCATAATGACAGTGATGAAGTGTTTCTTAGGGGGTAGGGAAATTTGTACAGTAGGAATATAGTGGTTCACTAGCTTTGGAGCTTAGCTAGTCTACCCTCTAATGGAGGCTCTTGCTCCTTTTTTCTCTATTGATTACTCGAATGTATTATCGTACAATGTATGATCTAATTAGGGTTTTTCTAGGGTCCCCTCTCGATGAGGCGTTACATAGTATTTATAAGGTTGCTCTCTATTCTGTAGGATTTCAGTCGAGATCTTTGTCAATTATTCATGGGATCCTCCTTGATTTTAGGAGAGAATCTTGGTTAGTTTAGAGTTTCATGCATTGGGATCAATTTTCGCAGTCATCCAGCTGTTTCCTAGTCGGTTCTGCTACGATCTTCCCAAGGGGAGCTCTACCCCTGATTCTTTGAGTTCTCCGTATCTTTCCTGACCTCCTGACCTGACCTCATTTCTTGAGCTCGCAGTTAGGGCTTGTTTGAAATATCATCAGTTGCCCCCTAGCCCCTAGTTCAAGCAGGCTTGGACAGGGGTTGAATTATTTTTGAAATCGAGCTGGATCTGCACGTGGTTGACCTTGGCTTGCATGTGAGTGAGGCCTTTTTGACAATTTTCAATAATCATGGCTTCCTCGTTTGCTGCACACGTTCCAACCCACGTCTCTTAAGCTTTAAATGCTCAAACGGTTATTTGAACCACCCTTTTCCACTGTTCAACTTCTCTGTTGTTTCCCTCTTCTTGTGATTTTCTAACTTTCTGGTTTGGAGTTCTCTGATTCCTCGTTCAAGATCGAGTTTTGTGGGTTCAATTTGAAGATTCGCATTGCCCCCTTTCTTCCATTTTCGCTCTAGGTTGTTGTTCGTTGCTCTTTCTAACTAGGTACGCCCTTTTGTCTCTTTTTCACCTTTTCTCATTCTGGATCCCTCGAATTCGAGGTGGGTATTGCATTTCTCGGCTTTTCAGTTCTTTTACTTTTGGAATCGAAACTAGTGCTTGTCTCCTCTTCCCCACTTCGTGGACTGGTATTCCATCGTGCGAATCCTTCATGTTGGAAGCTACTGTGTTGATCCTAGGATTATTAGGAAGTGCTTAATTAGCATTCCTCATTCTACCGTTCTTTTAATTTACCTTTCTCTTGTCCAGTCATGTATACTCCTTCCAAAGCTACTCGATCCTCTGCTACTCTCTTGGGAAAAAGGTCTACCGAAGAGGACGCTGATTTAGGGGATGTGGACGAGAAATCGACAATTTTTCCGGTGTAGATACTGTCGATGCCGAGGAAAATGCTAAGGAACCACCCCTATCATCTTCTACTATGCCCCCTAATCCTAACAAATGTAAGGGCAAGGTGAGTGGGGTAGAAGTCTTTAATAGCGCAGCGGGCACAGGGGCTGCCTTTAGGCATGCTAAGCTCATAGGACCTAGTGAGATTGACTATTCTCTTATGAAAATTCTCAGTGCTCGTTACGATTTTTCTCCTGGTATCCAGCCTTGGTGTCCAGATAAATACACCTCATATGTTGCCTAGGTTCATAAGAAAGTCTGTTTCTTTGTGGCCGCTTTTGAAAATGACCTTTGCTTCCCTATGCATCCCTTCATCAAGAGTGTTTTGCAACACTTTAACGTCTGTCCTGCTCAGCTCTCCCCGAATTTTCTGGGGTGTGTTGGTAGGTCTTCTAGTTTTATTAAAGAAACACGAGCTCGGGGTCCCCAGCCTTTCCTTGCTTGTGGATCTTTTTAATATCAAGTTCATCTCATCAGAGGGTTTCTTATGTATTTCCAAGCGAACCACGGCTAGGCAGATCATTACTTACCTCCCGAACTCCCATAAGGGTTGGAAGAAACAATTCTTTTTCGTTGGGGGCACCAACAGGGAGTACAACCCTGCTGACAGGACTGATACTCTGGATATCCCTAGAACTTGGTCCACCCCTGATAACTTAGATGAGTTATTGCTCGAACTGATTGAGCACTGGTTTGGAAATTATCGAGTTGCCTTTTTGACCTTTGTTCTCCTTGTGTTGTTTTTCAGGCATTCGACCAGAGCTCAGTGCTGAGGACCAGAGGGTGAAGCAAAAGTTGAAAAAGTGTAATCCAAAGAAGTACTCTGAGCTCATCAAGCCCTGGGTCTTAGTAACACAGTGATTTAGTCCTCTGGAGGTATCGATGGAAGCTCCGCTCCCCATCTCAATTGTTAGACCTGAAGACATAGAAGGTAACACTTTCTAAGTTGATTCCCTTGCCTTCCCTTCTTTTTCCTCTTTCCTGTTTAACTTGCTTGGTTTAGATCTCCTAGGCTCCTCCATAATGAAATCTACCCCTGAGGAGCCCCAGGCTAAAGTTGATCTACTGAAGAAGAGTAGGAAAAGTGGCAAACGAAAGACTGAGACCAGCTCTGGAGGCAGCCTTGTTGACAGGGCTAAAATGCAAAAACTGGGAGTGCCCTCTTCTCCTGCCTTGAGCAAAAGAGGACAAACTCCCTCATCTCAATCTCTGGCCCCTTCTCCTCTTAAAGGGGCCCAGTTTGCCCCAAAAAGGCTTCTGAGCCAGGGTTGACTTCCCCACCTCTTCTGAGGTTGAGGGAGCCTTGGGGTTGATTATTGAAATTTAGCCAGACTCTGCACCCCCTGGACCATCTAAGCAACCATCTCAACTGCCTCTCCGGAGTCCCAAAGTCGAAAAAAGGGAGGACCAGGAGACTGATGAAGACTTCTTCTTCGACAACGTTGAGTTGGCTGCTGGGGTCATTTCATCTATTCTCCCTAAATCTGATATTCAGAGGGCCTCTACCATGCCCCCTGAGGCCTCTTTCTGTTCAGCTCTCCAAGGAGCAGCCATTGTAAGTAT